AAAAAAAAAAAAAAAAAAAAAAAAAAGAGTTGTAGTTTGATCCTGTTGGATTAGTTTCATACTTTTGTTTATGTTGAACATGCTCAATCCATGTTTTAAAAAAAAATCACAAGTGTGAATTTATTGTATGCCTTGTATGTTTATATTTACATTCATAAATAAAAAAAAAAGAGTTGTAGTTTGATCCAGATGAGGTTATCTATGTTTGGAGGCACTACAATGATCTATTGTGCAAATCAGGGGTCACCAACATGGTGCCCGCGGGCACCAAGGGGCCCTCAAGGACCACCTGGGGTGCCCTTTAAGTCTTCTGAAAATAGAACTCAACAGTGAGCTACGTCTGAAATTTCACTGTATTCTGTTGCTCTTCATTTAATTGGGTTATAGAACATTTCATCATTTAATCACATATAGCATTTATAGAGACTTTAAAATGAAAATGTCTAAAAGAAAATTATGAATTTAAAGAAACAAAGATATGTTTAGGATGTATGAAGTTTAGGTGAACGTTGACCCTTGCAATTCATAGGTCAGTATTGGTAGCCCTTCCTGTGACTCAGTGCCCCTGAATTAGCCCTCAACTGTAAAAAGGTTGGTGACCGCTGGTGTAAATATTGGCTGTTATATGCTTATAATAAAAAAAAAAGACAAAATCTCCAAAAATAAAGTTTGGCCTATCTTCCCAAAGTAAGAGTTGTAGTCTGATCCAGATGAGGTTATCTGTTTATCCTACAAGTTTGGAGGCACTATAGTGATCTATAGTGTAGTCATTGCTCATTTTATTCTTATTCTAATAAATAAATAGGTGCGTTTTGTTTTTTATTTTTTGTTTGTTCCTTCGTGAGGCATTTTTTTTTTTTGCATTCCATGTCTTTCTTTTTCATCTCTTTTTGGTTGGTGTTTGTTTTGTTTCTTTCTGATTATTTTGCAACTTGCAGAGCTCGCTCCTCCTGCACATTTTTGGAGCAGCGAGCTCCCCATAGAGTCCAATGTAATTCTCCCAATGCGATAGACTAGTTTTGAGGAAACTGTGGTTGTAGCTCACTGTCTGCCTTGCTGTGGTTGCTGAGAGGTGTCTGTTTTGTAGAATAAATCATCCACAGACGAGTTATTAATCCAGAAAAGCCGAATCTGTGAATATATTGCCAACTTACTACAGTTTCACGATGCTGTCTCGGCTGCAGCGGAGGAGAGAGAGAGAGGAAAGATCGCTTGAGTTATATTTCCCCTCAAATTATGGTCATTATTGTATAAATGTTGTTGCTCTCTACAGCGTTCCAGGTCATGCAGCTATTTTCATTGTACAGATCAGTTATCATTGATCGTTGAGCTGTTGGCGACACTGATAATGTAGACCTAGTTATATTTAATTACAAATATGATTTTTTTCCCCTCCTGCTCTCAGGTAAAACAGTCTCAAAGAGAGAGACTTTAGCTGAAAACGAAACTGAAGGGGTGGAATGTTTCTCCAGCCACAGCGCTAATGGGGCATTTACATCTGAAAAGGGATTCATAAAGGGATAAGTACTGTGGGGGGGACTGCAGGCTGACGAAAATTCTCGTATCTGTTGGATTTCTAGTGTTAAAAAGCTGCACAGAGACTGAAGGAGAACCACTCATCCCAGCATGTGGTTCCATTACTGGGAGCTAATGAAGCAACAGGATGATTATGGAGCCGCTCCAACACTAAACCTACGAAACTGTTAAAAACATTTTGGGAAACAACTGGAAAAAAAGAAAGGTTTGGGTAACAACTTGGATCAGATTCAAACTGAACTTTATTCGTCAGGAGGTTAGAAACGACACATCCAACCAGAGCCAGGAGTCATTTACATCCTAACAGCCAGATGCTTTGGATCTGCACCCCCCCTCAAAAAAAATATCTTAACATTAAAAACATTTTCAATGGGAGAAAAGAAAGCGGCAACAGAACCATGGAGTCCTGCTCAGAAGTCCTCACCCAGATGTTTTGATCAGATCTATGTTGATTCTGACTTTCAGGATCAGGGATCCCATCACAGAAACAATGGATGAAGCAACCGTTTCATTGGACAAGCTGATGTACTGCGGTTCCGTTCTTTTCTGGAACCGGTTACTGGATCAACTTTGGTTTAAAAGGGGAAAACAAATTCAGAGGAGAGAATAAAACCTGGAGAGATTCTGAAAATCTGCTGATCCGGATCCCAGCGGCAGGTCAGCAGGGCGTTCGCTCCTTCGGACTCAAACAGCCACATTAGCCCCGCCCACCTGCAGCCCTGATCCAGTCCTCCATCCACTCAGTCCGAGTTCAGGCTGCGGCTTCATCTAACGTCAGCTCAGCCACAGACTTAACGGCTTCCTCATCATCATCATCATCATCATAATCCTCTTCATCTTCATCCTCCTCTTCCTCTTCATACCCATCATCCTCCTCGTCCTCGTCGTCGTCATCTCCGTAGCTGTCCTGTGGGCCTCCTCCAGCTGCCAGGTTCTTCCAGTAAGAGTCGTATCCTGATGCTCCGTCATAGTCATCATCGTCGCCGCCGCCGGCCTGCCGACCAAACTTCAGGGTTCGAGCTAAAGAGAAAACAGGAAGTGACATCAGACTTCATCAGCTTCCACAGAAGACAGGGTTTCATTTTAACATGAAACATCTGTGGCTTCAAACCAAAAGGCAACAAAGAGAGTAAAGCCCAATTTATACTTGTGACGCATAGCCTCCGCAACCATCAAATCTGCCCCAGTGCAGAGGCTCTGCAACAGTTGTGCACCTAAAAAAAAAATCCTGATTACACGTTGGACGGCCGCAAACCCATGCAAACCTCAAGCGGAAGTTCGCAGACAAAAAGCAGCTGTGATTGGTCCTTGGTATGCCTTTCTGGCTGTCTGTGTGTTCGTCCTTCTCGATTCGGTCCCGGGGCACGCCATTTTTAAAAACCGAGGAGTAATGACAACAATGGATAACCAAGACGAGGAGGTTCGTAAGTAAAACCACTTGTACGATTCCTCAGACTTGTTTTGGAAAATAAACACTCCCGCCGGCGCCGCTGCCGAAGTTCTTGTGAGTTCTCGAATAGGCTCCCCTTTTTCTTTGGTGGGAAACTGCTGTGCGTCCCTAGAAATTCCAGACGGACGCTGCAGAAGCATACCAGCAAAACTGGTTTGCGTCCAGACGCAAGCGACATTTGATGTGTGCGCATGCAGAATAATATAGAAGTATAATCCACCCTTAAGTGGAGGAAGAGGAATTCTGGACCAGATTCATGAACCTGGTCCAGATTCATGCTGAGGACGACAGTCCTGAAGGGGATGAGGAAGAGTCCTGATGAAATCTTCTCTGATGACATCTTTCTCACTGACATCAGCTTCAATTAATCAGATTCTTTGGCTGTATTTTTATTTAGATCACTTAGAAGCAGATATGGGTCCATTAAGCTCTTTCCGACTTGAAAGGTTTAGGAACCGGGTCTTCGCCAGACGCAGGATTCTACAGAGGAACTGACCAATCACTGACACTACAGACTAAGAAGAACCCAGTGCATTCTGTGGTTCTGTCTGCAGATATGGGACAGAAGGTCTGTTAACCATAGAGCCGTGCCGCTTTATCAGGCCTATTTTAGCGTCTGGCTTATTAATCGGCATCGGCCGAAATGTGAACGACATAAAAATTCGACTTTTGCTGTAAACAGCGGAAAGAAACTTCTGCAGGGTGCCGATTGTGCTCCTCTGCCCCTCCCTTCCTGAGCAGGGAGGGGCAGACCTGCTCCATCCTGCCCCTCCCCTCAGTGAGCAACTTCAATCTACTTCAGTCCTTTGTTTTCAGTGGAATAGGGAACTTTTCAGCTGCATGTAAATAGGACAAATTTATATTTGTACAATCGGGTGTGGAGCGACTTCATGAAGGATGTAACAGCAGTTGGATGCAGCGTCAGCAGTTAGTCAGGGTCCCAGCCCCAGCAAGGCAAAATAACACCACAAATTTTAGGCAATGTCTAAATCAGGACCACAAACTTTTGTTGTATTTATGTATTAGTATTATGTAGTCTTAAGCTGAAATTACAGTTGCTTCTTTTAATTCTATAGTTCTGTTCCGTTTCTTCGCCTTGCATCACATCACAATTTTTGGTAATATTCTGGCCGATATTTATTTGCACTAAATAGTGATGCTGTTTGTCCCCTGCTAACAACTAATCAATAAAGCATATTAAAATCTAGTTTGATGAGTGGACATTGGGTTTTTGAGTCATCTTTTATAAAAAGTTCTTTAATGGTGTATAGAAGTGTGGGTGTTCAGTACAAGAATAAGAAGTTAAGGTATTATTGGATTCCTTTAGCAAAGATTTAATAAAACAACATCCTTGTAACTTTTCAGTTGCTGAATCATTTATTGACCAACTTCCAAGTTCAGGAAGAATACAGCTAGTAGGTCAATGTATTCCGTTCACCCTGCAAGGTGGATTTCACAGGCTCCCTATCTGAAATAATACCCAATAGGTTCAGAGATCCCAGGTTGGTAAGCTGTGCCATGGTTCCATAGAAGTGAGAGGAGGGAGGAGCTGAG